AAAATAATTAGACAATAGTAACATTTTAAATTTTCAAATATCTATATGTATTTATCTATTAAAAAAGTTCGAAAAACATCTAATCAAATTTTATATATATATGTGTGTGTGTGTGTTTGTTAAAATTTTTTAATTGGTTATGATTAAGATTATTTTAGAGTATCTTAAATTTTAGAAGAATAATATAGAAAATTTCATTATTTCCCTTCATTCCCACTTTTATACATAATATAGATAGATCGTGAAAAGTCAAAAAATGATCAAATTGAAAGGAATAGATTGATATTACTTTTTCCGTTCCACTTTAGCAGCAACAAAGAGATGTCTCATTTTGTTACACTTTAAACGGTTTTAGAATTTTAAACGGTTTTAGAATTTTAAAAGTAATAATTTTTTTTTAAAAAATTTACTCGCATTCATGGGATATAAAAATACTATGTTTACAAGAAAGAGTGTGTGGCAATCCAAATTTCAAGGAGGAATAAATTCGACGAGTATTGCAGTGATATGAGAGTGTAAAAAACACGATTCACATAAATCACATTCATAATTTCTTTTTTTAGTTACACTTAGTCTTGTTTCTTAAAAATAATTATTTTTAAATCATTCTAATCCTATGTTATTCACGTACTTATAATCTCCAAATGGATCAAATGGATTTTAAGATTAAATTTTTGTGACAAAAATCAATTCAAAAGTTAATCAAATAAATTATATATGGAATAAGGTTAACTTTACCCACCTGAACTTGGGACAATATATAATTTACCCAAAAATTAACTTTTTGGATAATTTGCCCCTTGAACTTACTGCAAAAGAACAAAATGCCCAAATTTTTAAGAAAAAAATTGTTTTATAATTTAACAAATAAAAATTACTTAAAAATTATAAGATAAAAATTTAAAAATAAAAAATAAAAAATAATTTAAATATATAATTAAAAAAATAATTTAAAATATATTAATTATAAGTATAAAAGTTTACGGTATTTGATTTAAAAATTAATTTAACAAGTATTGATTGTTAAAAATATTAAAATTAGAAACAAATTTGATTATATTGAAAATATTTTGGTTAAAAAAAATATTTTATTATATTATGATTATTTTTTAAATTATGTTTGATAATTTAACAAGTATTTGATTTAAAAAATATAAAATTAGAAACAAATTTGATTATATTGAAATATTTGGTTAAAAAAATATTTATTATTTATTATTGATTATTTTTTAAATTATGTTTGATTTTGATTAAAAATTTAATTACTTTTCAATCATATTTATATCAAATAATTTATTTTTGAATAAAAATTGACATTTTGTACTTTTGGTGCAAGTTCAATGGGTAAATTGTACACAAAGTTAATATTTGGATAAATTATATATTGTACCCAAATTCAGGTGGCAAAATGAGACTTATTCCATTATATATTGCTTATAAGTTTGAGAAGCCAACTTGAAAGCCAAATTACATAAATTAATCAATGAACTTTTTATTTTAAACTTGTGGCACTCTCAATGTTATTTTGACCCATTGAATAATTTGAACTTATAAAATTAAATCTATTAAACAGTTTAACTAGAAAAATTATTTTATTAAACACTTTAATTTATAAAATTAAATCAATTAAGTACTTCTTAGATGGTCCAAAAATATGAAAATTATTTGTCCAAAAAAATTTTGCTAACCACATATAAAATCAAAACTCTCTCTGTTCCATTTTGTTTGCTTATTATTTCATTTTTGGATGTTTTAAAATGTTTGCAAGGTTTGTAAATTTATATATATAAATAATTATTTTTTCTATAATAACCTTTATGACTTGTTCATTAAATGAATGACTTTTATTAATATGGTCAAAGTAAGAAAGTTATGGTGAATTTATATGTTGGACCCTAAATTAAATGTTGTTTCTTCTAAACATGAAAATAGCATATTATATTAGGCATGATTGCATATCAATTTTAAATTGAAGCCGAATCGGTCAAAACTGGCACAAAATCATGGTCAACAATTCTTGGTTTTAAATCGCAATCAAAACTGTATATTTACAGTTTGATTATAGTTCTTCATTTTTTGAAAATGCAATTGGCGTAGTTTGAAATCAATGGTTCCGAATTGCAACTAGAAAAAAAAAAGCATTTTTCAAAAAAGATCCCAATTTATTTTTTATTTGATTATAATTTTTAAAAATCAATTTTAAGACTTTTAATTAAATTGACTTAGTCTTTTAATAACAATATTTATTATTATTATTTATTCAAGCTACGAATTCGAAAAAGGAATTTTAAACAGTTTAAAAAAATTATTTAATTTTAGTTTCAAATCGAAATAATACTAAAATCTACGGATTTAAAACGGTCTTAAAAATTGTTTAAAAGCGGCTCACTTTTAATTTTACTTTTTTTGTAATTGAAATCCGGAGTTCCAACACCTTGATCATGCATATGTGAAATAACTATAAGTATGTGTGATGGCAAAAGCTTTTCACCATAGCCACTAATAAATTGTGGTATGCAACCCACTTTGATAAGACTCGCCTTTTGACTAAAATTTACTTCTCAGAAAACAAGATCATTGGCTTTGTGGCAACATTAATGCTCTTTGTATCACCCCAAATGCCAAATAAATACCGGAAGCCAAATTAAATTATGAATAGCTTTTTCTGTCAAAATACTGTGTCATTTCCTATTCAAAAAACCAAGAAAGAAAAGTATAATATATTGAGACTAGTCTAATTGATCCTTCGCACTTTTTTGAATATGTAGAAAATAAAATATTTCAAAATTTTGTTATTTTGATACGTGTTTCCACACTCTCAGTCGGAGTGATATGCCGATATCGATGAATTTGAAAATCAGAATAACAATTAAGAAATGATAAGATTTATCTACACTAAGTGTATAGGAAGTTCTATATCCCAAATAATAAAAAAAGCTTTTTTAAAAATAATGTTACTAGTTTATCGTTCTTTTCAATGTATGATCAAAGATATCCTCATTTGAACCAAATTACTGTTTGTGATTTATTTTGTGTATAGATATATCCATACATCCAGTGTTGATAAGTTATTAAGAAAAATTGTCTTTTTTATGAAAATGAGAGTTATTGTGATTTTACATATAGTTGTTCAATGATAATAATTTATTTGTATCCTTGATCTTTGTTTAACTTTGCTGATTAGTAAGGGTTACCTTTATGGGAAAATCCCACTTGTGAAAGTAATAAAATATATTAAAACATTAATATTGCACCGCTATTTAGACTAAAATATTAAAAAAACTCTGAACTTTACAGGTAGTTTTAATTGTACACTAAATTCAATTTTTTGTCTTAATATCTTGAACTTCAATTTTGGTTAAAATAGCACCCTAATTTTAAATTGTATCCAATTTAATAAATAAAATATTATTTTCGTTGGACCTACTTGGTCAGGTTAACCAAAAATTCACTGTTTAACAATACTCTAACTAATATTAATTATGATGTTTTTTAAATTCATAAAAACTAAGTAAAATAATAAATAATTTTTATTTTGTCATTTTTTAAGCCTAAAATCAAATTATTTAGGTTTTGAGTAGAAAGTACAATGAAATTAACATTTATGAAAGGGTCGGCCGACATAAAAATATCCTTAGGTTTATTATTTTAATTTTATGTCACCCTAAATTTTGAAGGAGATTTATTGTGCACCTAAAATTACTAATTTTAATGAGAGAAAAGATTTTTGGCTCATGGTGATACAAGATCATGAAATTTAAAATGAAACTTTTATCCAGATTTAGTAATGTCAAATGTTATTTTCATCCCTCATGTAAAATTAGTAAATTTGACATGGGAGAGAGATTTAAATTTTGAATTTTAAATATTTCTCTTTCATCATTTAATAATGCCTAACCTTTAATTTCACTCTGAACTTTTCAAGTAATTGCAATTTCACTCTAAAATGACCTTTGTACGCTGGACACTCTGAACTTATTAACCTAGTTGCAATTACACCATAATTTGAATTAATATCTAACTCATTATTTTTGCATCTTAAAATTAATTCAATTTTAAAATTAAATACACAATCTTAATTTTTTTAAAATTTATTATACGAATATTTGGGTTTGATTTTATTATTTGTTATTTAAATACTTGGGTATGGAGTATATTTTTACATTATTTTAATCAAAATTACAACCTTAGTTTTATGGTGCAACTGCAACAAATCGACAAGTTTAGAGTGTTGTAATTCACTTTTAGGGTGCAATTGCACTCTAAAAGTAAATATGATGCAATTGCAACTAGATCAATAAGTTTAGGGTGCCCAGAGTACAAAAGTCGATTTAGAGTAAAATTACAACTATTCGAAATGTTCGATTTGAAATTGAATGTTAGGCTATTTAACAACTCCAAACAAAGCATTAAATGAGTGAGATTATTAATGCATATGTAGGACATTTATTTTGTTTTTACCTCATCAATTAACAAATCATATTATTCCAAGTATCTCAGTGATTTATGAGACAAATAATCATATGCCACTTAATTTTTCTTTAACTTGATATTTTTTTCTTGTTAAGCTATACTTGGTTACACTTGGAATCAAATTAAATTAAGACATTAAAATGAACATTAAAATTAAATTAAGTAACAATTAAATAAGTCATATTCATCGTACTTGGAAACTAGACCCAGCGTGTTAAGTGTAGAAAATATTTTCTACATATAAATTTTAATGTGCTAATAAGTGCATTAAAGAATAATTAGATAGTGAAATGTTTAAATAAATTGTGATTATTTTCTAGAATTTTGTGTGGATAAAGATTGTTGAATTAGATCAATTAAAAATTTAATCATCAATTAGAAAAATAAGAATTATTGTGATAGAAAGTGTATGTTAAACAAATATTGAAAATTTAACTCTAAACATAATTATTTTGTTACTATTCAAATAGTGAGAAAATAAAATAATGTCGACCGTACAAATACAAAATAATTTTTTTCGTCCATAATGATCTTGGTACTAGTCCATAACGATCAAAGTCGAATCGTGAGCCTATTAACGAAGCAAATTCAATGAAGCAACAACTGGTACCATAGAGAAGTGGTCGTCCATAATGATCTTGGTACTAGTCCATAACGATCAAAGTCGAATCGTGAGGCCTTTAACGAAGCAAATTCAATGACAGCAAACAACTGGTACCATTAGAAAGTGGCCAGGCCATAAACTGGAGAGTCTTGACCAATTTGAAAGATTATTTGATGTAGTTGAAATAACTGAAATTTTAGTTGTTTGATCAAGTAAAAGTTTTCACTTATATAAGGAGTGAGAGGTCTTAAGTTCGAATCCTCTCGATCACATGAGTTTTAACCAATTTGGTGAGTTAAGAGCCTATCTCTATTGTGTAGTTTGGCCTCCCCATGAATAATAATAAAAAAAGTGTTCGAAACTTTTCCCGAGTGGAGTCATAATTTTATATAAATTACTATTTAATTCAACTTAGTAAAATCTACAAATCAGAATTTCTATTTTCAAAAAACTAAATTACGGTATGTATATCATAATTTAATGAAAATTTTAATAGAAATATTATTTAGTTAAATGACTATTTAGTTAAAAAAAAAAGAATACTTAATTTTAAATTTGTTTGAAATTATAACATTGCCACATATATATATATATCACTATTTATATACCTATATAATATAATATACTAATAATATATATTAATACTATATTGATTAATCACTAGCTTTTTTAATACAATGCTCCATTTCATAAAATTTATATTGCATCGATTCACTTATTAAATTAAGTTAAAAATACAAATTATAACTTTTAAACAATTATATTAACCACACCTACAATGTCAACTGCCATAATTAAAGATTCGTTTATAAATTCCAAGTAAATATCTTAAACCAACAAACAGAACCGGTACTAAAAGTTGACTTGTAAGTATCTTAAATAAATACAATTTCATAAATCAGAACTAAAGTCATAAAATGTATAGAATTACTCTACTTATGTATCAACATCCACCTGTATAACACACAGTTAAAAAATCACATTAGCCTCATTTTTAATGGAATTTTATTTATTGACTATCTCTATTTTAAATTCAACATCCCTATTTTAAAGTAAAAAAAAAAAAAAAAAAAAATTATATAATAAAGTTGATTGCTTTGATAAATATAACTTCAACGAAACAACAAACTACATAAGGTCTATTTATTGTTTAAATCTTTTAGGTAAAAAAACCTCAAAAAGTAGCAAACTAAACTCTAGATTCGGAAGTCCCTTTCATGTATGTACTCATATGAGACCAAGACACGACAGTCGTAATAAGTGAGAGGCCCTTTTATTAGCTACAAAACGTAATCATTGCCAAAAATCAATATGCTCGTAAGCTGCTATTCCTAATGCTACAAATCTGTCCATAACTGCATCGTAGACCCAACTAACATGAATAATGTGGTTAATAAATTATGTTAGATCTCATGAATAAAAATTGAACTTTACGATTAGATTGAAATGCAACATTTCATTCCAAAATACCAACCATAAATGGAAAACATTAAAATTCAAATGGAATTAACATAAACAGCTTTTCCAGAAAATGTTTAATCTAATTGGCATTTAAACATAGACCCGACCTTTATATAAAAAAAACCCTCCAAGATTCAATTTTTAATTTTACACCTAACCATCTAATTTTCTTCAACTGCACCCTAACAACTTAATATTGCAAGTTACAAAGCGTATTCCAAATTCAATTCTACCCGATTTAATAAATAAAACTATTAATTTTTTGTGGACAATCCATAATTTTTCTCAAATCAAAGTTTATAAAACCAAAGGAATTGCTTAATTAAAAATACACTGTTTTAATAGAAAATTAACAAATAAATTACTGCCTCCAGAGAAGGTGAGTAACTCACTCAAGTTATAACCTGATCCGAATGTCCTTTGCAAAAAAAGCGTTTGACCCTTAATCACCAAAACCCTGTGGTTGCCTCATATAGTAGTCAAAAGAGAAGAATTTTCTTTTTCCTCTCGAATTGACCTTGAACCTTTACCCCAGAGACGGAAAATGGCAGGAGATGTCCTTATCTCACCTGTTTTGGCTTGAAAGCGATAGTGAAACTTTATACAGACACTTTCTTCTCTTCGTCCTCTCCGCAACTATTGAAGTCGATTTAAATGAACATTGCACGGTCAAGCGCGACTACGGTTGAGAAAACCCTGAGAAGACAATAATGGCTGGCATAACTGGAAAATCAGTGGTCCGGCGAAGAGACTGGAAGAGCGCCTGCGATGGGAATTGAGAGAAAGTTTGAAAGGTGGTTTTTTTTTTTTTGGGGGTTTAAAAAAAAACTTTTTCAATTTTTTTTCTTTTTGTGTTTAAATTTTGACCATGAGAGGTTGGAGCGGTCCCACAAATCATTTTTGATTCAAAATCCGAGATAAAGATGAATTTGGCGGTGCTATTATAATTAATGTTCAAGTTTTGTTAGCACCCATCCACCAGAAGGTCTTAAGGACTCGTGTGCATGACCATAAGAAGTTTGAGGATGAGTTGCCTGCTACCAAAACATATCTTTTTACATGCAGTAGCAACTTGATTTTTAAATTAATTATTCTATATTAATCATTTCATGATTGAAATACAATCAGATTCAAATATGTGATTGAGCATTGTTGCAGCATATTGCCTACTTTCACAATCAATCTGTGCCGTTTATTTGTGAGGGGGCACTTTAGAAATAGCGACTAGTTTGGTTTATTTTTTCCCTCCTATTAAATAACCATTGTATCGCAGCAGAAGGGATCTGAACAAACAATTATCAAACTCTTTAGACTACATCTTATTAACTCTGCATAGCCGAGACACACCTATCAATTACGAGTATCAGAGCCCAAAATCATACCCATCTTCTTTTCTCTTCCTCCACTTACTCGGCCACTAATAAAGAACGTACTTGAATCTCTTGAAAGGCAGGGTTGGGACAACTTCAAGACAACTGTTGGAATATGGAACTGGGTTGCTGACAAAATTGTAAGCCTGGAGGACATGATTGTTCAAAATTATCATGCAGTGTTGTCCAACCGAGATGGCAGTAGTAGCACTCATCTGAGGCGTTCGAGCAGCCATAGCCCCATAGCAGAAACGATTCAAACAGAAAGAGGAAAGCCAATGTTTCTCCTCAAAATTGACTAAGCTTGAGTTTCCAAAGTGTTTTCTGGGTCCCCTAACCCCCGGATTTAAAAACGGTGTTATACTTTGTATACATTGGAGAGTTGAGCGTCCCTAAACCCCGACAAAAGGACCTCGGAAACTTCTTTTTTATTTTGTTTGTAATTATTGGAAAATGGTGTTAAAACCTTTGGGAATGCGATCCGATAAATCGGTCTTATAAATTATTTTGAGTCCGCCACCCATTATTTTTTGGCAATTGGGACCGTTTTCCAATTTATTTTATAAAAATGACTCATTCTTTAACCCAATTTTATTTAAGGCCAATTCATTAAATTAAAAAGACTGGTCAGGCGCACCATGTGCGACTTCTAGGAAGGGAATTGGGTACGTCGGCCCGTTTGGAAGCCGACGCCCGGAAAACCGGCCTCTTTTAACCTATAATTTCTTAATTGATTTTAATCTTTAGAAAAGCCCAATCTAATTTAAATTAAACGCAACCCGTATAAATCGAACCGGACGTTCCTATGTGGAAACATTAACTTAAACCGTCCCAACCTAAAGTTCATTCATTGCATTCATCATAAATTTACCATCCCACATTCTAATCATCCATTCATAGTACGAAATGAATTAAAGACCCAGACTCTTGCCTTATGGTTAAAGAGCAGGGCCACCAAGACCAGGTTTAATAATGTAATTTTCACAAACAATAAAAATAATAAATCCTTAAAATTCTTATATCCATAGTTAAATTAATTTGTTGATTTGATTAGAACACATTTGCCCATTATTGATTCATTTCTTGAATTAAAAGTTAACATATATTTAATATTATGAAATTAAAATAAAATAAGCAAAAAAAATGTTCTGGAACCCAAATAGACAGTTGCGTCACGACAGCCTGTTTCTACCTGAAGAACAGTTGCGTGACGGACAACTTCCTCAGATTTGCGTGGCGCGACTGTTGTGAACTTCATTAAAATTACCCAGTATTCATTAACTACTTAAATTTAAGATGTACAACTAATTAAAAACTATAAACACAAATTATAAACTATGTCCCACGACAGTTCCGTCACGCACGCGTGGTCCAAGCAAAGACAAAGCGTCTTTTGGACATAGAATAGTTGCGTTCAACGCAGGTAGGTAGCTGGTGACGCAGCTGGCTCTTGGTCCCGTTAACTACCTTTCAAAACTACCCTTTTTTACGTCGTTTCCTTTAATATTAACAAAGGGTTTCAATATAACTCAGAAGAAAACACTCAGATGAAGATGGGCAAAATTTCGTTTAACCAATCACCAACTAACCAAATCTAAGAGAAAATGAAGATTTTCACCAAATAAACAACTAAAAATGAAAAAAGAAAGTTTAAGATGATATCACCATAACCTCGATATTGAGGATTGCATGTATAGATTTGATCTCTGAGCGAACAAAAGACCTCCACAGATACCAGAAAGCGATTTACACCAAGTTTTTAACAATAAAGCTTTTTTTCTCTCCCTTTCTCTCTTTTTCTCTTTTTCTCTTTCTATGGTCATTCTTTTGTTTAACAAGTTTTCATAATCTACCTTTCTAAATAGCTTAAATCTCCTCAAGATTTACTCACTTGATTCTATGGCGGGAAAACCCTAGCCGCAATAGATTATTCTCAGCCTAAATGCCCTCAGTCCGAGAAAAAATAGAAAAAGTCCCGTCTATAGAAATGAAAATGATAATGGTAATATCATCATGGGACTAGAGCAACAGAACAAAGCATGCGTCACGCACCCCGCAAACTGCGTTGACGCAGTTACTTTTCGTAATACAGTTGCGCCGTATCCATACAAATAGTACATGACCGTTACATGGTGTGTGTGCCATGGGTTCAGCCTGGTTAGAGTTGCTGGACGCAGCTATGGAGTGCCGTCAAGCAGGCTATAGTGCATAGACGCAACCCTAACGCAGGTTCAGACCTTTGGACCGGTTCGATTCGATTTTTGGTTAGAACACTTCTGGTGACCGTGATTCTTTATTCCTTATCCTTATATCACTCACCGCGGTTAGGTGGGGGCATGACAATTACGGTCAAACAAGCTTTGCCACCTCCCAACATTTACTCTTTAA